CCCTGTGAGTCATGAATTTTGACTGTCTGTTATTGCTGTTTTGAAAACCTGGCAACCCTCATTGTAATCCAGCCAACTGTACAAAAGCCACAAAGAGTTGAATACTTCTGCAAGGCACTATATCACAAATATGCCATAAGTCTCTAGCCTTAAAAGAATATGACCTTTCTAAGAAGGTTTCATACTGGGCCCATGTAACTTCTCCCTACTTGGAACAAAGTGGTATACTCACATGTAACAATATTACTCAACAACCTTCATACATAATTCAATATTTTATCATTTGATAAGTTTTTTTTAAAAAAATAGTGGCAAGTAACAATCTAAAACTGATGGAAATGTTTAAAATGTTTAAAAATAAAAGCATTGCACTAGTGCTCTGAGTTACATGTATTTGATTTGGATGACAAAATCTGGTTTTTGGGGTACCATCCCTATTCATCATTTGTTATTATAAAGTATGTGAACCTAGAGAGAAAATGAGCACAATCATAAAAGCAAGATGAAAAAGAGAGAGAAGTAAATCTGGCCTCCCCTAAAGCTCTAAAGCAATAATTGTTAGGAAGGAGTCCCAGGGGAAAATGTACAATGTGGGGAATAGCAGGACATCATAAGCAGCCATGATGACACAGCATTTGACTGATGCTGACTCATGCTGAGTCATGCTGTGCCATGGGAAGTGACATCATGCAGATGGTCACCTGGTGCTGGAAAGCACTGACAAGTGCTGCAAAACTGCAGAATCAGGCCTTGCAGCAAAAAATGCAGGCCTTGCAGCAGGAAGTCACTGTCAGGTTGAGTGACAGCTGTCAGCAGGAAGAGGCAGAGCCAGAAGGCCACATGGAGCCCTGGCTATAGAAGGCAGATGCCTCAGGACACATGTGTGGTTGTGGTTGTGGGAAGATAGTTGGTGTGTTAATGACTGTGTCAGTGGATCATGTATATAGCCTTGTACACAGAGGAATTAAGATTAAAGCCTCATCTGAAAGACATCTGTTTGTAGAGTTTCTTTGGTAAGGTGGTGAATCTTGTGCTGCATGTTGACATGGATCATCACATGCTGCGTAACCACACTAACAATCATTCCCAAAGTAGAAGGCATTGCCTCCCGGAGGGGCAGTGGAGAAATCCAGGGGGGTGAGAGAAAGAGGGGGAGCAGGGGAACCTTCAGGGGGATCTTCTTCATATGCAAGAAAGACAATGGGAACCAACAGCCTTTAGGACCATGTTGGGAATGAGTTTTACATGTGGAGATGGGGGAGAAGCAGCAGCAAAAGGGAGATTTCATATTTGGGACCCTCCTTCATTTCTGTGAGATTTGTTGGGACTTGGCTTGCAGGTTGGAGATGCACTACTGCTCCTGCTTTATTTTGTCACATAGGACAAGAGAAGAGATAGAAGAAACAATGTTTGTGCAGGGGGAAGACTTGAATCTGTGTGGGGAAGGCACATCTTTGGGAAAGTTGGGGGAGGAATATCTGTGTTCAGTTCTTCAAAAGAGTCATTTGCCTCTCTCTGACTGAGAGTCCTTCTTTGCCAGGGAGAAATGGGAAGAAGCTTCTCCCTTTACATCTGGTCACCTTGCGAGCAGCAACTGAGCAGCTGGTTGAGCAGCAACCAAAAAGTTTCTTGCCACATTGCTTTTGCTGCAAGGCCTATATGAATGAGAGGCTTCTTGGTTGCTGCTCAGTTTCTAAGTTTCTGCTCCTAGGGTGACCGGTTGCAAAAGGAGCCATAATTAAACAGTAACCTCTCATCCATGTCAGCCTTTGCCACAAGGCCAGTATGTCAAGAGGCTTCACAGTTGCTGCTCAACCAACTGCCTGGTCACTCTTTGATTGGCTGCTCAGTTACTGCTCAGTTTGCACCCAGTCACCCTAGGAGTAGTAACGGAACAGCTGGACAGCCAATCTTCCTTTTGATGTAAGACCAGTGCAGGAGAGAGGGAGGAGCAGTCCTGGGCCATAGCCACTGCCGTATTCACACATAAGAGGCTGAGACAGAGGATGAGGTGGTGGTGATGTGGGTATGTCTGAGGTAGGTGCTGCTGGCCTGTGAACTGCTGCACAAACAATAGGCTAATATCAAATAGGTTTGGGTCTCCCAAGAGGAAAGGGGGCAGTATCCCAAAAAGGTTTGGGGATCACTGCTCTAACACATATCAGTTTGGTCCCAATGCAATGGCACAGCATTATTTGTAGCACAGTTCACTGTATCCACATTATTTAGTGCTTCAGTAGGATAAAAAGTAGGAGAAAGTTACAATAACTAAACATGCCTCACTGATACAGTTTAGGAATGATATGCAATGCTATATAGGTAGAGCATAAAAATGAACTGATATTATTAAACAACAACAAAATCAAAACATTCAATAAGGCCTGTATCTCTATTACTTGGGTCAAAATTGCATTTAGTTTCTTTTTTTATATCCTCTCATATATCACCCAAGAATCAATCTATGAAGTTTATCACATTTATTTTAAAACTGGCATACCTAATCAAGATTAAATTTTAAATTGGGTGGCATCCTGATATTATCAGAAGGATTTAGCTACCGAAATCACCACCAGGTCCATCCCGGGTCCATCTCCACTCCCAGGGGTGTTCGGCATACCTCTTTTCGAAGCCGGGAGTTTTCCAGCTTAGGAAAATGGCCACCGGAGCGAGGATGGACACCAGGCGGTGATTTCAGCAGCTAAATCCTTCTGATAATATCAGGATGCCACCTGCTTTAAAATTTTATCCAAATCAGGTACGCAGGTTTTAAAATGAATGTGATAAGCTCCTATGTCTACCTTTGTTTCAGGTTCAACTCATCTGGAACAAATTAAGAAGAATTTGGATAGGCCCACCGATCAAACATAGAACAGTTTAAGGCCCTCAGCACTGCTTATTCCATCAAAAATATTCTGAGCCAAGAAAGCAGTTTTCTGGCAAAACTTCTATTTGATCTGATTGATAGTTCATGTAAAAGAACTTTTAGTCTGAAGCACAACTCAGGATATTAAAATAAATCATATTAAATCATAAAATAGAGAGATCTACTCAAGGAATAAATCTTGATAAATCCAGTTCTTTTTCTATTGCTTTCTGTAAAGAACAGTCCATTAAGAGGTGGCATAGGAGGAGACAATCCAATGGTTTCTCTTTCTTAGAACATATCCTGGGGAAAACAAACAGGGGGTTACTATTTTTTTCTAGGAAAAAAGAGGAAGAAGGGCTAACAAAATTGTGGGTAGAAATGGAGAGAGTTCCTTGCTGAAAGAGAGAGTATTTCTTAAGAGGCCACCTGACATTGCATTTTTTGTGGAATAGGTTTTCACATTTTATTTTCTCATCTTTATTATCTTCACTATTGGGTTTTCTTCCTAATGTTTTTATAACTTTAATTGAGACAATACCTTTTGGTGAAACTATACTTATGCATTTTTACGATTCCCAAAACATTTTGTCCTAAAACTAATTTGGGAAAAGCTTTTAAAGATATGAATTTGGCAAGCTCTTAAAAAGAAAACTAACCGATTACTATGAGAAGACTTCAGATTAAGGTTAATTATGATGTCTTCTTGGATTGCTTAATTGTCTGTAATTTGGGCTGATGATGCCTCGGCAAGGTGGATATGTGGAAAAAGTATCCTATCCATTAACATTCCCAAAAGTTGTTATATGAGAGTGGCAAGTACTATGTCACATGCATATATAAGCTGTTTCAGTCATCCATACAGTTTATATGATCAGACTGTTAGAAAATAACCTAACAACTTTCTCACTTCAATTCCATTAGAGAAAGAGGCATGACAAAACCTAGGAATGTTGGGGAAAGAATAGTCAAGTTTTGATACAGTAACTAGTTTCCTTTGTCAGGGGAAGCTTTGGTCTGATTGTTCCTGTTACATTCAAATACAATTGGCTTACTTTCATGAAGCTCATACAGATTCTGTACTATGACAGTGAATGTGTGAGAATAAGTGATAGTTTTTTGGATTTCTTTTACAATTTAACTAATTGACTTTAGATTGTGAGATAACTTCATTAGTTTCAGTGAGGAAAAAGTTATTGTCAAACAGTAATGAGTAGAGTAAGAGCCAGCATGGTGTAGTGGTTTAAGTGTTGGACTAGGACACTGGAGAGCAGGGTTCAATTTCCCACTTGGCCATGGAAACCCACTGGGTGACCTTG